CCAGCCACTCCCCGGAAGGAAGGTTGGGCAATCCTACTTCCGTAGTGATACTGCCTCGGAAACCCAAGGAGGGGTCGCTATGAGTCAGGGCTGACTTGACGGCACATAACAACAACAACAACAAGCCTCCTAAACTGTGAGAAAACAGAGTTCTGTTCATTAAAGCCACCCCTTGTGGTATTTGTGTTGTAGCATAATAGTGACCCCTCCTTGGGTTTCCGAGAAGGTATCACTATAGAAGTAGATTGCCCAGTCTGCTTCCTGAGGAGTGGCTGGTGGGTGTGAACCACCAGCCTTCTGGTTAGCAGTCAAATGCCTTAGGCACTATGCCACCAGAGCTCCTACTGAGAAATTAAGACACTGGATATCAGTAGGAACAATTTCTGTGTCCAACAATAGGGAATTGGCTAGAACAAACTAAATGCATTTTGTGTCTGTGCACAAAAATAGATATCACTGTGTCAAAAATGTCTTGAATTTTGAAAAAAAGTCAACAAAATCTCTCCAGTTTCAGGTGCTTTTCTTTTATACTTTGTTGCCTTTTTAGTTTAGAAAATTAAGAAAGAGACAGTGAATATAATGGTTCCTTCCAGATCAAAAAACCAAACCCGTTGTTGTGGAGTCAATCCTGACTTACAGCGACCCTAGAGGACAGAATAGAGTTGCCTCATCGAGTTTCCAAGGCTGTCAATCTTTCCAGAAGCAGACTGCCTCATCTTTCTCGTGTGGAGCAGCTGGTGGGTTCGAACCACCGACCTTTTGGTCAGCAGCCGAATGCTTCCCTCCAGACTTACAATATTCTACTACCCTTTTCCCACGGGTAGCATTTTAAACATAAACATCATTCACGTTATTCTTCAATATTCACATTCAGTATTTGGTTTTCCAGAGACTTTTCTATGTGCTCACCCATCTTATCGTTTGTGTAAAGATCAAATTGCATGCACTCGCACATATTCTTTTGCAGCCACCATTTTAAGAACTCACTTGACTGGGGACATGCGGTGTCACTTACCTTCCTTTTCACAGTGCCTCCAGTTTCCATCATAAACGGCTCTGGTTGCACACCAAGGAAAGAAGCTATTGACTCTGGTGCAGGAGAAATAAGTGGACCCTTTGTAGATGAAGGGAAAGACGCAGGAGTCTTTCTTACCTGAAAGGACACACAGGGAGTGAGATGAGTCACTTTGAATGAACTAGGGACGAGCCTTCGTGTGGTTCTTGTGGTCTGAAGGCTACACACATAAACTTGGCATCAACTCCCTGATAAAACATAAGGGTATGGCCAGCTTATTTTTGGACCAAGATTACTGGGAAAGGATTTCATAAACAATGAAAGAAACCACGACACATTGTTCCTCCAGACCATGGTTACCGAGAGTGTGGAATGTACCCATGAGTAGAACACAGGCTACTTTTTGGTAGACCACAAGATTGCATTAGCAGGGGTACAACATGAAATAATTTTGAAACGCAGATCAGAAAAAAAAATCCTGAAAAAAAATTTTTTTTTGAGGTTGGAACCATGTCTTGTTTTTTTTTTTTAAATGATGATGATATCCACTGCAAAACATACATCAATTCAACAATTTCTAAATGTAGACTTTCGTTACATTGGTTACATGCTTCAAGTTGTACCACCTTTATCCACAACCTTTTCCAAATTGTTTCAGCATCATTAACACAAACTCACTGCCCCCTAAGTCTTTCATCTAACCTTTCGAGTTGCCATTGCCAATTTCATCACATATAACAAACCGAACTCACTACCATCGTGTCGGATCTGACTCATAGCGAACCCTCCTTAGGTTTCTGAGGTGGTATCTTTAAGGAAGTAGATTGCCCAATATTCCTTCTGAGGAGTAGCTGGTGGGTTTGAACCGCCAGCCTCCTGGTTAGCAGTCAAATCCCTTAAACACTACACCACCAGAGCACCCCCTTAGATAATTCTTTAAGAGAACATAATGCTCAAATTTGACTCCCCTCCCCCAAATAAGCTGAACTATTGTTTGGTTTAATCATGCCTTCAGAAGATCGTTTTGATACAAAGTTTAAGGTTTAAAGATTTCCTCAGGGCAAAAGTTTTGGGAGATCATCCAGCCTCAATTGCTCCAGAAAGTCTGGATACTATGAGAATTTAAAGTTCTGCTCTACATTTCCCCCCTTTTGATCATTATTCTTCCATAGAATCTTTGACCAAATCGTTCATTAATGGTATCCTGGCACCAACCAGTTCTTCTGGTCTCAAGGTAAAGGGAGTAGCTGTTCATGGAAGCAGTTGGACACATAAAAAAAATTCCTTCTTCAATGTTCTTTTAATCGGTCTGATTATACAAATGAGAAAACTTCTATTGAATGCTATTGTCTCTCTATTATATCTCTAATACTTAACAATCTCCCCTTTTAATGAAAAGAGGGTAGGACTCAGGCTCAAAGCTTTATTTGGGCATTAATATGGGGTTGAATTTCATAATAGGGTTTTATTTTCATAGTATTTATTTTTATTTGAACCTCCTACTTATAAGTGGAACTGCTTTTATATATACAACATTTCTGTAAAGAATATTTTTAAAAATACATTTCTTTAAGGAAAGAATAGTGAGCACATTTTTTAAAATATTCAGTAAATTAAAAGAGTTGATGGTAAATACTGGGAGGGTGATACGTGGATGAACAAAGTTTATGAAACACAATCCCAGACCCTTAGATTCTTCTCCACGAAGATTCAAAACTTTATCTTTTATATAAAAGTCCTCAGAACCTAGAACCACTGTATTTAATATTAGAAGCTCAAGAGATAGCTGATATAATAATAAACGAGTTTTGGAAAATGCTGTATCAAAGTTAAACAGGGTTTTTTAATGATCAAGGACTCATCAGAAGGATTAATATGTAAACATGAGCTGGATTACCCAGGGGGGGATGTGAGTTGTCACAGGGCCAATTCTGACATGTGACCCCATGTGTCAGGGCAGAACTGACCTCCACGGGGTTTTTAATGACTGAATTTTCAGCAGTAGATTGACAGGCCTCTTTCCGAGAAATATCCAGGAGGACTCTAACAGCCAACTTTCTGGTTAGTGACCAAGTGTGTCAGCCATTTGTACCAGTCAAAGACTCCAAGAGTGATACAGAATGTATTGAATTATGCTTTCTTCCCACCCACTCCCCACCACCAGTCAATAGCTGTAGAGACTAATGGTTCCTGAAACACATTTTAAGACATTCTATTCGTGGTAGTTAAGATTGTGTGTCAACTTGGCTGGGCCCGGTTGAGTGGCTGGGCAGCTGGTGGTAGTTATTCCCCATGATGAGACTGGTAATCAACTCCATGGTGGGATCCACCACAAGCAGCTGAGTAGCTGCCTTTGGGATGTGGTCTGCTTCCTGTACATAAGAAGCAGCTCTGGGAACGGTCTCTAGGTTTTGGATACGCTTGAACCCTGCATGTAGCTGAGTCATTCAGCAGCCTGCCACGCTCTGCCGATCATGGGACTTTCAATGGACTTGAATCAATGATCTGGTGTGTGGTTTGGCAACATTAGGACTGTGTGCCTTTTTACTTGTCAACCTTGGGTTTCTCAGCCTCAGCAGCCAGCAGCTGTCTGAGTGAAGAAAAGCCTCTAGCTTCTGTGGGCTGGGAGCAGGAGGCAGAGGTGAAGCCCAAGGTTGAGGGGCTTTCACCCAGCCCCTAGAGCCTGGCTCTTTTAACTAACTGAAAGGTCATTGGCTTGAATTCACCAGCCTCTCCACAGGAAAAAGATGAGGCAGTCTGTTTCCATAAACATTTACAGCCTTGGAGACCCCGTGGTGCAGTTCCACTCTGTCCTCTAGGGGCGCTGTGAGTCAGAATCCACTCCATGGCAGTGGGTTTGTTTTTGCTTGGTCTCGTCTGTTTCTGAGAGCCATTTGGTCTTGTTTTGGTGACATTTAAACCAGTTAATATACAGGCAGTGCCCGAGTTATGAACGTTCCACTTATGTGCAACTCTGCAGTTACAAACCCACCTGTAAACGCTGTTGTTCTTGTTGTTATGTGCCATCAAGTCGGACCGGACTCATAGCGACCTCTTCTTGGGTTTCCAAGACGGTATCACTACGGAAGTAGATTACCTAACCTTCCCTCCAAGGAGTGGCTGGTGGTTTGAACCACCAGCCTTCTGGTTAACATCCAAGTACCTTAGGCACTATGCTACCAGAGCTCTTGTAAAGCCTAATATATTAAAAATCCAAAATACACACAATGGTTTGTAATAACAAACAGGAGCTACTTTGCTATATGCATCAAAATATTATTATTATTATTATTACTGTATTATTATGGTATGATGCTTTAGTGTATCTGGAAGTGTTTCTGTAATTTTTTTTATACATAGAAAAGTACCGAGCTGAGAAAAACCCCAAGCTCACTGCCATCGAGCAACCTCCATAGGGTTTCCAAGGCTGAACATCTTTACAGAAGCAGACTGCCTCATCTTCCTCCTGAGGAGCGGCTGGTGGGTTTGATCCACCGACCTTCTGGTTAGCCGCCAAATGCCTTAACCGCTATACCATCAGAGTTCCGTATAGAAAGTTACATTTGACTAACTGAAAGTTGGATACCGATGGTACCTAACTGTTCCAACTTACGTACAAATTTGATTTAAAACCGATTTAGCAACAGAACTTGTTTGTAATCTGGGAACTGCCTGTGCAGTAAATGCTTATCTGTGGGGTGATGGGGGACTTACAGCAAGATGATGGAATAGGCAGACAAGAGTATGTGGCCCATGTCAGTGGTAGTCACTATTCCAGTGGGCAGAGTAGCCCTGCCCCAAACCCTGGGGGCCATGGGACTCGCTGCTCCTCTCCACCGCCCATCAAAACAAACAAACATACAAACTTACTGCCTTGAGTCCATTTGGCTTACAGCAATCCCTCCTTGGGTTTCCAAGGTGGTGTCTCTATGGAAGTAGACTGCCCCATCTTCCTCCTGAGGAGTAGCTGGTGGGTTTGAACCGCCAGCCTTCTGGTTAGCAGTCAAATGCCTTAGGCACTGCACCACCAGAGCTCCTACCTTCACAGAAGCAAAGCCCAAACCAAACCCACTGCCTGGAGGGGATTCTGACCCACAGCGCCCCTAGAGGACACAGTGGAACTGCACCACAGGGTCTCCAAGGCTGTCAGTCTTTATGGGAGCAAAGCCCAAACCACACCCACTGGAAGCAAAGCCCAAACCAAAGTCACTGCCATTGACTTGACTTGACTCATAGCGACCCCTCCTTGGGTTTCCGAGGCGGTATCACTACGGAAGTAGATTGCCCAACCTGCCTTCCAGCCTTCTGGTTAGTAGTCAAATGCCTTAGGCACTACGCCACCAGAGCTCTCCCACCTCCCATGGCCCCCACGTATTCTCTGCTCTCCCACTGACCAAGAGGAGACCCTCCTCTGCGCCCAATGGCGAGCTCCACATCCTGTCCACGCCCTGACTGGCAGATGACAAGGGGCACTGAGGGTGGTGATGATGAGTTACCACACTGGGTGACGGGTGACACTCACCGTAGTGATGCCACTGTCCTGGTGGCCCTCCCCCCGCAGCACCAGCCCTCCCTCTGGCACCGCAGCTGTGGACCCTGGGCCCATTGTGGTGTTACCCCCTCTGAGAGTGTCACGGGACCCAGTCTGCACCCCCACAACCCCCTAGTGACCATGGCTGTTACTCAGGAAATGTTAGCTCGTCGCTCCACGGGACGAAGACCCCTGGCAAACTGCTTCCATGAAGATTACAGCCTTGGAAACCCTATGGGGCAGGTCTGTAGGGTCCTATAGTGTCCCTAGGAGTCAGAATACTCCACAGCAGTGACATCGGGAGGTGTTAGCAAAAATCAACACATGATGCATAAAACCTGCCAAAGCCACAACCTGTGTAAGGCAGAAAACTGTGGATGTGGAAACTCAAATATTTGCCCTTAACAGAGTGATAGAGAAGGGGGAAAACAGTACCTTGTCAAAGACAGAGAACTTGCGAGAACCGGGAAGGCAAGGCATTTGCTCCGAGTTCTGGCTTTCACGGGTTTTACTGTATTAGCCATCTGCACAGTAATCTGTTGATGGCCTAATTCCCATAACTGGTTCCAATCCTTCATAATCCAGAGCCCGCTGACCTCTCTGCTCTCAGAGTAACATTTGATTGACCTTACCACAAGGTCATGCTGTCAGGAGGGACCAACCGCTGGAGAAGAAGGTCATGCTTGGCCAAGTGGAGGGTCGGCGAAAAAGGGGAAGGCCCTCAATGAGATGGATTGACACGGTGGCTGCAACGATGGGCTCAGGTATGGCAAGGATCGTGGGGCTGGTGCAGGGCCGGGCAGTGTTTCGTTCTGTTGTGCACGGGGTCACTGACTCAGAGCCGACTTGAGGGCACCTAACAATAACTACGACTACTACAAGGAGGTCTGGTGGCACCGTCATTATAACTTGGCTATTAACCAGAAGGTCGGAAGTTCAAATCCACTAAGTGTTTCATGGGAGAAAGATGTGGCAGTCTGTTTCCATCAAGATTCCAGCCTTGGAAACCCTATAGGCTCCTACAGTGTCTCTATGATCATGGACTTAAGGCTATCACTGTTAAGGAAAGCTGGTGGTGACTATGAGTTGGAACTGACTGATGGCAATTGATTGATTGCTGTTGCAGCAGATTTGGTTTTATTTTTTGTATGCTCTCGTGTTTCTAGGCTTTTTCTCATGCCCCCATGCTTTTCCTCTCTCGTAGCTCAGTTAGCCGCTGAGTGTGTTAATGGTTTGCATCACTCAGGAACACCCTCTTAGTTAAAAAACCAAACCTACTGCCTGAGAGTGGATTTTGACTCACAGCGCCCCTAGAGGACAGAGTGGAACTGCACCACAGGGTCTCCAAGGCTGTCAATCTTCACAGAAGCAAAGCCCAAACCACACCCACTGCCGTGGAGTAGATTCCGACTCACAGCGCCCCTAGAGGACACAGTGGAACTGCACCACAGGGTCTCCAAGGCTGTAAAATCCCAAACCAAACCCACTGCCTTGGAGTAGATTCTGACCCACAGCGCCCCTAGAGGACAGAGTGGAACTGCCCCACAGGGTCTCCAAGGCTGTCAATCTTCACAGAAGCCGACTGCCTCATCTTTTGGTTAACAGCCCAGTGCTTTAACCACAGTGCCACTAGGGCTGCTTCCCTTCGAGTTCGGAGGGGCTATGTGTAACCCCATAGAGATTACAGCCAAGAAAACCCTACGGGGCAGTTCTACTTTGTCTTATGTGTTGCTATGAGTCAGGATTGGCTTGACAACAGTTGGTTGAGGACGTGGAAACCCTGCCCCTGTTCCCAGTATACTCACTCCCACTGCTCTCAGCGGGATACAGCAGGAAGGCCATCCATCCCAGCAGGTAACCGGACCATGCCTTCATCGTGGCCGGCCTCTTCTCTCTGGGTTAAAGACAGACAAAAACGAGGCTCTCACACACCCTCTTCCTCTTCCCACTAACTCCGTATTTGAAGTCATGCATGCCAATTTGTTTCTATCCACAAGGGGTGATTTAAAAATAACTTCATTTTTTTCTCCTCATCCAGAGCAATGAAGAATGAAGAAAATCAAAAATTCATGGAAATAATTAGTCCTAGTGACTGGTACACCATGCGATCCGCAGCCTATATGACTATGAGACCAGAACTAGATGGTGCCCGGCTACCACTGTCAACCACTCGGAGGGGGATCTATGGAGGAGATCCTGGATAGAGACGGAGAACAATGTGGAACAAAAC